ATATATATATATATATTTTTTCATGCGACCCTGGCCAAAGGCCAATGGCAGGCCTTTGTTGCCGGCTTTGCTGAAAGCCTGCCAAAAACAATGGAAGGAGTGCACCGCAATCCAAAGAAGGAAATGGCGACAGAAGCAACCACCCACCCCCTTCGCCCTCTCCTGAAGGGTGTGCCGCCCAACGGCCAAAGCTCTGCTGCTAGAGCCAGCGGGGCCGAAAGGTTGTCGCTTGCCCTTAACTAACCGGGCCAGCATCCGTGAAAACAGTTCCTTCTACTTGAGGAGTTTTTCGGGGCTGCTTTTGCACGTTGTGAAACCCAAAGACAAAGCCCGGTTCAAGACAGACTGCTTTGTACTTTTGTTAGGGACCCAATAACAACCACCCAGCCAAACATAATCCCAACCACCATGGCTCCAGTTGTTTGTTTGGGACCCAACCAAGAATCACAAACCAAAAGGTAAAGGGCCATGTGGAGAGGTCCGCTCTCTCTCTCTCTCTCTATCTCTCTCTCTTTCTCTCTTTTTATATCTCTCTCTCTGTCTTTCTCTCTGGATGGCTTCGAGCATGAGACCTTGACTTGGTTTTGGTCTATCACAAACTCCAAACAACTCTTTGGGAGTTCTTCAAAACAACTGAAGCAAAAACAACTTCTCGGGCCCCGAAAAGTTTTTTTCCACTCAAGGTCCTGCTGGTACAAAGGTGAGGTGCCTCCAGAAAAAAAACAACTTTCGGGGCTCGAAAAGTTTGTTTTCACCAGGTCCAGGTGGTAAAAGGTGCTCCAAACCGAAAATAACTTTCGGAGCTCGAAAAGTTTGTTTTACTGAAGTCCTGAAGCTTGCGGGTGGTAAAAGGTGCCTCCAAACCGAAAAAAAACAACTTTCGGGGCTCAACATGTTGTTGTCCAAGCCCGCAAAGCAAGCACGTGGAGTCGAACCCCACACTTCCTAGAGCCAGGATGAAAAGCGTGATTTTAACCACTACGCAATCAAGTCTTGATGCTCTGGGCGGCTGTCGCAAAAAATTCTTCAAAACTGAAGCGGGCGTCAAAGCATGCAGCCTGCCTCGCAACAAAAAACTTTTCTGGGCTCGAAAAGTTTTTTTGCAAGCACGAGGCCCAAAGGTGAAAAGGCAAAGCCGCAGCAAAGCAAGCCCGGGGCTCAACATGTTGTTTTCCAAGCCCGCGCAGCGAAAAAGGTGAGGTGCCAAAAAAAAACTTTCGGGGCTCGAAAAGTTGTTTTCCAAACGCGAGCTTTTTTGTTCAAGCTAGCCAAGGAGCATTGAAAAGGTTTGCACAAGCAACCCAACGGTCAAACAGCAGTTGTCTGAGCCTGAAAAAGTTGTTCACTGAAAGAATCTGTTTCCTTGTTGCTCGAAAGACTTCTACCAAACAATCTGAACGAAAGACGGATCTGACAAACAGAGCTTACGCAAAGCTTACGACGAGTGACTCATGCATGCGGCTTACGCAGGACCTTCCGATCGCTTACGAATTTCGCAAAAACGCTTACGACTGCAAGAGTAATTTCCAGTTTCATCTAAATTGATCTACGGAGGTTTTTTTCGCCGCTCACATGCGTCTGAGCCGCCGAATGGACATGGAAACGAATGCGCAAGTCCCCCTGGTTGCAGTGGAAAATCTAGACTCCCCCCGCCCGTCCCTCCCAAAATGACCATAGACTACTGGATATGTTGACCAAACCTCATGTGTGCCGTAGTCAAAATTGTAAACCCGTCAGGGATGCCTTGTTTTGCTTCAAAATCCCAGTGATGTCTGCCAAGACTGCCCTTAAAGCATGCAATCATGCCGATTCATGCTTGATTCGGATTGATCCTGAAGACTATACGAAACAATGAACTAATGGGCTAAAAGGGAAATCACCTCTGCGAATTCCAACACGAAGGGAAACCACCTCGGATAAGTAAAATAAGCTAGAACATTGTCCCGCAAATAGACAAAAGAGAAACCACCTCTGATAAATCTCAAGAGTTCATGAGTCCAAAGCGGACACTTCCCGAGCGATCCGAGTTGTTCTGATTGATAATTGCCCTACATAGCCAGTACATGAACACCTCACAATATCGCCACCAAAAAATTGAGACCCCCTAAGCCCTACGCAAGACCGATACCCATTGCAAAACCGATGGGCTATCCAAAACCGGTAATATTGCCAGTTGCGCATACTGACGGACAACATACATTCGCACCAGTTGATAGGTGGTTTGCACGGGTTTCAGCTTTAGTTTTTCCCGGTATGTCCAAGTGTGGTCAGAATCTTGCACATACAAGCATAATGCAATACATAACTTGCTTACATTTCAAATGATTGTATATACATAGTACACAAGTGAGTCCAAATGGATGCCTTACTGCAACTAGTTATCCGCTCGCTCGCTCACTCGCTTGATTTGTTAACATGTTGCTTGGGCATCGGCCTGGAGCCTGGAGCTCTTGTAAAAGACTAGATTCAGTTCTGTTGTTGTTCTTCCTTTCCGTTTCGGTCCTGTAGTAAAAAGAGCATTGCCTTGATTCTCTTTCAGTCAGCAAAAGTTAACTTATGCTTTCTCCCCCCAGGATACGTTCAGCTCCTGACTCAATTGTCAGCTTGTTCCCGAGGCCCAGCAAAAGCAGAAGATCAAGCTGTGGGCTCAGCTTTTTGCTAACAAGGTTTAACAAGAGCAAACAAGATGGACTATGAAACTATTTCAGCCTGTGACAAGCCCCATTTTGAAGGAACCCAAGTACACAGCGCTTTGTTGCTTGGGACCTATCCACTTGCATGACACGCGGAAGCCTCCACACACCACTTGTTCTGCGGAAGCCTCCTCGAGCCTACGCCAAGTCATCTTGCAGGTGCCTACGGGGACGCCTATGCGTGCAAGGTGCGCTACACGAAAAATGCACTTTGGCTGCTCCAGCTGGAAAACGTGCACCTTTTCAACAAGCGTAGTACGCAAACACACTTTGGCAGCCCTGGCTCTAGTTTCACCTTTGCGGTACAAGTGGAAACCCCCCATCTGTCCAAGGCTCTGACTGCTAGAAAAGGCCTACGCTACGCACATGCCTACGAGGCCTACGTGGAGCCCACGCGGAGCCTATGCGAAGACTGTAGAACAAACAGAAGCAAGGCAAAAACAAAAAAACTCATTTCTGCTTGGAAACCAGCATTGAACACGCGAGAAGCCTGCACGAGGGGTGGGTGGCACAGCAGCCGAATTACGCCCAAAAAGCCTACGCGAGCCTAGACCCCCAACTAGGATTGCCTCCGCATATAAACCCCTTCATTCGACAAAAACCGCTGCTCAAGTGGATTGTTGCCTTTTGGCCTGTTGCTTGTTGGGCTCCCATTAAATTCGAATCAAACCATCCCAAAGGGGGGGTACCCAAGCAACGACAAATCGATGTACCCAAGACCACGTTGGGATTCGCAAACGATCACGCTCTGCTCGCTCGGCCCATGGCTGTTTCAGCTGGCCAAAGGAGCGGCACGACAAGGCCACTAGTCATTAGCGGCACTCAGACCACATGAGTCACAATCAGTACCTGGTACTAAAATCGTTTACCCAACACCATGTAAGAAAATTAAAAGGCGGCCGCAACTATTTCTGGCCGGGCTTATCCCTGATTAACCTTCATCTACCCGGGTTTTGAGCAAGTGGCTCACATGGCTATGGCTCGTCAAAATAGGGAGAGGCCTCGGTTTTCCTTTTGGTGTCCGATAAAAAACCACCCGAAAAAGGGGTACCAACTCCCGCACTCCGACGTTTTCGCGGTCTTCGAAATTGGGGGATCCCGAAATCCGGTCGTGCAGGTCCTTCATAGGACACAACCAAGACGGTCGCACATACTTGGTTGACGTTGGGTTTGGGGAGCAAAAAAGTGAAAATTTTAGCAGTTCAGTGGATTTGGATTTCAACCACTAAACCACAAGAAGCAAAAATGTAACATGTTTCCCAACGACAACCATGTATAAACCCAGGATTGACTTTGAAAACGACCTTGAGTACAGTATGATCAAGGTCCATGCAAACTATCACGCAAAGAGACTTGATTGCAACTTTGGTCTTGGCTGGCTGTGGGCACTACTTATTTTCGATCCACGTGCCAATCATCACCATGTGGGGCCTGTTCCGCAGCTTTTTGATTTTTGGTGGGACAGGGTTGCATGACTTATAACTCACTTCCGATCGAGTGGATGGGCCAAAAAGATAACCGAGCTTTTGTGTACCACTAGAATGATCTTCCAAAACAAACATCGAGTCCAGGCACTACAATAACTATAGTTCAACATCCAAGTTGCCGAGTTACGGCAAAAAAACAAGTGAAAGCACCCCTTAGCAGACTTTGCCGTCTCTGCACGGATCCAAACAGCCAGGGATTTCAGATAAACATGCATTGCAACTATCAAAGGGTCACCCAACTGAGTAGCGCGAGCGATTCATGCTGGGGCATGTTTCGCCTTTGCCCGCATGTGCTGGACACATTGACTAGGTCCTCCAGTAGAGAGGTTAGAATAAGGGTACCTTGTTTGTCTGTAGTCTATTTTAGTAGGGGAACCCTCCCCCCCAAAAAGTTGGCCACAGGGCACCTAGCTTAGCTGGGGGACCTAGAAGAACAGAGACCTCTCCATTCGGAGGAACTTTGCCCAGCACATTGGCCAGAGTCAAGATCTTTCACTCGGCTTAGCGCTAAGCTTGGGCCAAACCCCTGCCGTGTCGATCCTCAGCTTCTTGTTGTAAACATGGGATATCAAACTAGGGAGACCGTGGGGACCAGAAAATAGTGGTGTTCCTTTGAGTAAAAACTCCAAAACTACGCTGCGGCCGTCAGCTCAGCGCCGCTCAGGCTTGCAAATACGTCGGGAAGCAACATCTTCCACGGGTCGCATATCGTTGGCATTAGGGTTGTCCTGTGCATAGGTGTCCTTTTTGGAAAATAGATGGCCCTGGTATATGATTGAACCACCAGGTAAACCAGGAATCGAAACAAACAATCTATTTTGTACGCAAACCAACCAAAAAGAACACCAAAAAGGTCCTGTGGGTTCGCCACATTCAGCCTAAGGACCAGCCCTACACCGCAAGGCCCACATCACCCTCGCGCTCATCGATATCACCCAGCACCGGTTCTACCTGACGGAGCACAGCGCGGGTTTTGCACGAGGGGCCGGGGAAAGCATTCACGGTTTGCCGTTGTTCAGCATGTTGCCAAAGGAAAAGGGGGAAAACAGGCACCCATAAAAACGTGACCGGAGACCCCAGAAGCGGTTACGGGTTCAGAAGGGAAAAAGCTGGACATGCGTGCTGGTTAGGCAGCTTCCCTGGAACGAGGCATCAGCAACTGATGTCAAGATCAAAGCAAAATCCAGAAAACGTGACCTGGCTCCCTCCTATATGTCCCCCTTGAAACATCACCCAACCAAGAGTCTCATCTCAAAGTGGAGCATCTAAAACACACACACACACACACACCACACACACATTGAAATGACGAGCTCCCTACCATTGATTGGCCCATGCGGCAGGGAACGTCAGAGTAGGTGCTTTATGGCTTTTGGGGCCCAAATATGGACATTAGAATTCGGCCCGAATTCGTGTCCAACCACTTCTTGGAATGTCTAGCCAAGGCAACCAAGAAACATGCTGCAGGATGCTACGTGGCCAAACAGGCTGAAACCGAACGCATGCCGTGACAGAGTCGAACAGAGACAAAAATAACTCAAAGGAATGCAAATGTAAAAGGAGCCCCTGGAGTCTCCTTCTGACCCTTTAACAATGGGTCAATGACCCCAAAATTTTGGGAAATCACCCCATTTTGCAAGGGTCAGAAGGAGACTCTATTTCTCCTCTCGGACATGCAATCCCCACTTCCTAGCTGGGATCCACTGGAGTGTGGACGAAAGCGAAAAGAATCGAGCAATCGCCATGGCTGTCTTTTCAGATGTTGGCTGTGGCTCAAAAAACCGGTACCAAAATGGAACCCTGGTAAGTGGAAACATCGACCAAAACCTGCGTAACCCCTGCTGTTTAATTTTGAGCCACACCTATGTTGGCTCCCTTAAAAACCATCCAAGGAAAAAGGTCTGGGGAGTATTTGTGCCAACTCAGCAGCTGCGAGCTCCCCAATCTGTCCAGGAGTTCTGCTGGTTTACCTAACAAAAAGCCGGTGTCAAGCAAGGGTTCCCGTAATTCGGCAACAAACTTAACCCAGGGCCCGCGACGCCTCATAACGGCCTCGAGTCTCGCTTGAGTGTTAGGGTTGTTGATCTTCACCAAACTGGTCAGGACTTGGTTGCAAGTAACATCATCATGCCATTTGGGCGGCCCAATGAAATTTGGATGGGCCCCACAATAGAAATTATGTTGACACGTGGGGGAGTAGTACGGAATCGGAACCCGGATCCGTAGTAGCGTGGAAGAATTTGTTGGCAACCCAAAAAAAAGTTGCTTTCCTGTTTCCTGTTGAAACCACAGAAATGGGTACCAACTCCAAAACACTCTTCTTCTTCTTGTGTTTTCTCGCCATGAAATCCCAAAGCCCTTTCGGTCCCATCACAAGCCCCGGTATGGGTGGGCCTTTTGGGGCCATGGCAAGTGGATTTTCCCTGCGGGGGCCCAGGGAGGCGGAGCTCGGGGACAAAAGCGCGGAGTTCTCCAATGGGCGTTGCTCCAAAACCCGAGTGGAGTCACTTGCTCAAAAAATCGGGTGATTAAAATGGTCGTAATCCCAGAACCGAATAGCTTCAAGAAATAAGAAGCCGGAATTCCGCGGCTACATATATGGTTGGCATTGTCCCTTACTAACCTTCATCTACCCAGGTTTGGATTGTGGCTCAGTCGGGGAGTCAAAACACAACTTGGGGTTTCGGTCCAAAAGCTGTTTCTTCAGGCCCGAAACGCCGAAACCTTTTGGAGCAGAACATGGCCAAAGGACGCCGCTCTCGACCGGAACATCGCTCGAAATCCCGAGGCCGCCACTCCAGGGGACAGATCCTCAACGAGAAAAACAAATCCGAGGCAAACACATCGACGATGTCCAACCCTACTTACTAGGTTGCCGCCGTTTGCTTTTTCAGCGCCTGGGAAAAAAGGGAGTTGGCTTCCAGCAGTGATGGACTCCCTTTAAAGCCAACAGGGGAAATAGAAAATACTAAGCAAATGGAAGGTGATAGGACATAAAACATTATTTCAAGAAAATGGAAGGTGACAACCTGCTTGTTCTTGAGTGGGACCAGGGGTCGGTGGTCACATCTATAGTTATAACCTGTCCACACTGCAAGCATCTCCGTGGCAGTTTAATGTGCCTCACTTTCTGAGCTTCGCGCTCAAACAAAAATCACCGCTTCGTTCCCGCAAAGTTATACTCAAATCCGATCGAGTGGATTGACGAAAACATGCCCTGCAACTGCCTAAGCCACGAAGTTAGTACAAACCTAGTTATGTAGATTGAACATCCAAGAAGGGCTTCCTGTGAAAAAGGGAAACTGACGCCCCTTTCAAACCAAACGCATTTACAACAGCTTCAGAAACTTGCCCAGTGCCCAGGAGTCCAGGAGACCTCCCCAAAAAACAAGGCAAGGCAAGGACGAGAAAGGACATGCGCCAGGCTGCCCCTGAACTGGGCATGGTGCCAAAAATGACTGCCTGCCCTTTGAAACTGGGTCAATGACCCCGAAAAATTGGAAACTCGCGCCATTTTTCAAGGGTCCTGGAGACTGACTCCTTCTTCACCTTAAAGAAAATTGACCTCGCAACCAGTTCGAAATCTTCTGCCTTCCGACCACACTGGGACACAGCTGTTGACCAGTTCGAAGCGGTTGACACGTCGGCTTCTGACAGCTGAGCTTTGGGCTTTCAAGTTTTTTGAAGCTCCGTTGCCCAAAGGACCCAGAAAGAGAAGGTGAGCCTTTTGGGGCCACTAAATTTGCTCCAACATTGGGAAACCAAAAGGTCCAAAGGGTCGGCTTTGGACTGAGCAACATGTAGCCATGCTCCTCAAACAACCAGCGATCTCTTGAAGGACCCTGTTTTGGGCTCGAGGTTGGAGAAAATTCTTCAACGCTGCAATGCAGGTCTGGAAAAAGCCCATCCCCTTTTGGTCTCCTTTGGGCAAGTTCATGGGCTATGTAGCATCCAGTCAAACTGCCTCCTTTGGATTGCCTTAGGCTGCGTTCAGGTGAAATAACCTAAAGCAAGGATTTTCCGGGACGGCCAATTTGGTTGCTGTGTCCCCCGGTTGATTTGTTTTGTTTTTGTTTTTTGTGTGGCTTGTACCATCCCATCAATCAGAGGGGGTACCCTCAACAGCAACTTCTTCCGTATTTCAACCCCTATCCAGAAACAATCCACCAAAAAACAAGAAGAAAATGTCTCCGGCCATGAAAAGTTCAGGGCTCCCAAGTGGTCCTCTGAAGCCTCACCCCACTCAAGGGAAACTCACTGCATGGCTCACGGTGCTGGTTTCCCAAGAAGCTCAAGTGCTACCAAACTAGGTTCTGCAACCGTGATGAGGAATCCCTTGGTATCACTGAATAAGTGGCAATTCCCTTCCTCCTGGTTGGACCACCCCCTTTCACCCAGCATTTTAGAAATCCCGGAGTTCCGATGCCCAACACAAAAGAAGGGTTCATGCTTGTTTTAGAGAATTAGGACAACATTCAAGCCACACTGAAAACCCAACACCTGAAATAACACTAACAAACCTCAGGTACAGGATCTTTACCATGAGCCCGTCTTACCCGGATCGTTGACACCGCTCGGAGGGAGAAAAAAAAAAACGTCGCATCGAGGTGCCGGTTTGGTGGAGAGCATTGAGGAGCTCTGGGTTCTCAGCATGCGGTCCTAAGGCAAAAGGCACCAAGCTAAGCCTAGCCCAAGCTACAGATCCAATTTTTTAACCGAGAAAATATTCAGCATACCCAAGAAAAAAGAGGCAATGGTCTGGGGAGACAATTTCAAACATCAAATTCGATTTGGAGACTGAGTTCTTCCAACATCACGTTTGCGTTGGTTTTTGGCAGTTGATCATAGAAAGTCAATGGACTTGTTGTTTACCTTCAAAAGTGTCCTTCCAAACCATTTATATAATCACTTTACCTACAGGGGAACGGGGCCACTCAAGGGAGGCTGAGTTCTTAATAGTTCAAGATGCTAGAGTGCAATGCTAGTTTGGATGGGGTGGCTAGGTTCAAATTCATTCATGCCACATAACCAACTCGCTCCACCCAAAAACCATCCGACCCGAAAAGCCTCGTTGCTTTTCAATACGAGAATAATGGATTGGTTTAAAGCAACATGGCATCTAGCAAACACAACCCCTTTCTTCCAAACAAACTCTTCGCCAATTTTGAAGCCATGGTTGAAATCATTGTTTGCTGGTATTTACATGGGAATCGAAGCATGCCAGGGTTTCTAACAGGTGGTACGATTTCTGGATTTCGCAATCATCCACAGAAAAGAGGAAGGTCGAGAGACAACAAAAACAGGGGGTGCAAAACCAGGGTCCGGATCCTCAACGCAAGAAATCCGAACCCCCAAAAGCCCAGCTTCAGAACCCTTTCTGAGGGTGTTCATTTCACGCTCGACTCAACCCATCGGTCCAGCAAGGACCTCTATCGAGCAATGGCGCGTCTGAGGCCCCAGAAATGCAAGTCGCATCCTTTTTGGGCACCATTTTCGGAAAAAAACGGTATCCTTTCTTGGCTGGTTGAGTTTAAAGGCGAACCCTGCCCCAACAAAAAGAAGAAGAAGAAAAAGGCGGAATCCACTGGGCAACCGGGTTTTTTGAAAGAAGTTCAAGAGTTCAGTCACCCATTCGCTCGCTTTGCATCGAGCCACCTTCTTTGTCCTGCGCACGGGAATCCACTGGGCCGGGGGACACCATTTGATGTTTATCCTTTCGGTTCAGCCTGTGGTTGCAACTGGATTAGGGAAATCATGACCAGCCAACAATCAAGGCTACCAAGGGTGGTCTCAAACGGACCTCCACGGACCTTGGCGGCAGCTACCAGCCGCCAACTCTAGCCGAACACGACCAACAAAGCAAGCTAGCAAACCAGCCAGAAAGCCAGCGCACCAAAGCAACCAATCGCCCAGCCAGTCAATGTAGCTAACCACCTCCTGCACCGAACAAAACTAACAAACCACACATGCTTCTGCCAAAATACCGGTTGTCTGCGGCAACCACTCTGACACGATACGCTTCGTTGGAAGCGATGGCACAAGAAACGCGGCCCAAAGTCATGGGATGTCCACACCATCTTTAAAAACCTTGGTTGACGTTGGAAGGGGAGCAACACTTTAAATTCTAGCAGTTAAGTGCACGTGGGGACTTCAACCACTAAACCACAATAAGCAAAAATGTAAAATGTTTCCCAACAACAACCATGAAACAGGCTGCCAGGGCTGCCATACTCTTGAAAATTAACGAACGCCAAGGCCAACTCCTCGAAATGGGAGTCTACTTGTGGACATGTCTTCAAAATACCTAGCACCCGGCAAAGCTTTTATGTTTGAAGGAGCCCTTGCTTTACCAGCCCCTAGTTGCGGTTTGAACTGGTGGCTTGGGGATTTAAAGATATTTAAAGCCCCCTCTTGATTTGCCAATCGAAAAACACCCAGAATTCGTTGGCCTTTGTTCAAACAAGGGATAAGTCTCGGCCCGAGACCTGCCAGTGGTAGACTTGCTTCCAACCGAAGCTCGGGTGCTGGGTTGCCATGCCTCCGAACTGGATCGTGAACCTCGTGCCCTTGGAGGGTGCCTTCACTGGGGTGCTCTATATCAGCGACGTGCACAAGGGCACCTTCGTCCAGGCGTTCGAGAAGTCCGTCGGCAGGTCCGTTTGGTTGCCCAACACCTTTCCCAGTGGGCGGCTCATCACTGTGTACAACTTTGTGGCTAGCCAGTCGTCAGATGGCTCGGCATATGTGCTGCCCCTGGAGCACTCAAAATGGTTTGCACACGAGCCCCTCGGCATCGAGAACTTCCAGCACATCAAGGAGGTTTGCTCTGGAATGGGAGGCCTCGGACTAGGAGCCTCACAAGCTGGCATCAAGCCAGTAGCCTACTTGGACAAGTGCAAGCTGGCATGCGACGCCCTCAAGCTGAACGGCGCCACCAACGTGATCCAGGGCGACCTGCGCCAGACTCAGGACATCGCAAAGCTTCATGAAGCCAGCGAGCATCGACGAACAGTACTTGGAGCTGGATTCCCGTGCCAGCCCTATAGCTCGCAAGGAGACCAGAGAGGCCAGAACGATCCTCGTGCTCTGGTCTTCTTAGCCACCTTGCAGGCAGCCTGGCTCACGCAGGCATCTTCACTCATCCTTGAATGTGTCCCGGGAGTCCAGAGCCACAGCTTCATCAAGGAGAACCTCAACTACCTGGCGGACCTCATGCGCTACCAGGTGAAGACGATCGTGCTGTCTCTTCAGGATCAATCAATGGCCATGCAATCGAGTCAGATGGTGGGCCATCCTCGCCCCGAAGGAGTTCGACTTGACAGCCTTTGAGGCCTGGCCCAAGGACACCAGCTACAACACCATCCAACACATCATCCCTGATTGGCCGTTGTGGGAACCACAGGAAGAGCAGCTCCTCCAACTCGATCAGGAGGAGATCACCTACTACACCGACCTCAACTTCGGCCAAGAAGAACGATTGCTACAACAAACCGGCACATGCCCTACCTTGTTGCACTCCTACGGCAACGTTCTTCGCAAATGCCCATGTGGATGCAGGCAAGCTGCCTTCAGTCTGGAGCGTCTCCAAAGAGGAGGTGTGCGAGGTTGCTACATCATCTCGCAGGTCACAGGAAAGCCGCGCTTTCTTCATACGTCAGAGGCAGCAATCCTCTGCACCATCCCGGTCACGTACAAATTTCCAGGCGACGCACGAGCTGGTCTGGCGCTCATCGGACAAGTGGCTGCTCCACTGCAAGCACAATGGGTATGTCTCCATCTTGTGCGAGCCGTACAAACCCACTTTGGGTGGGAACCCCTTTGTCAACCACTTGAGCTCACCAAGAAAGCCAAGCAGGATCTCCTCTGGCAGAGGTACCACCACTGGGTCACCAACGACTCCCACGCCACCCGTCATGTCTGGATCCAGCACAGCGATGGCACCAACATCTATCTCCTTCGAGAAGGGCATCAGACCGTAGGTGAACTCCTTCAAGCTGAAGCCTGTCTTGCTGAGCTACCTCAACAACTCCAGCTCTGGGATGGACATCGGCCAGTCCCGACAGATGCTGTGCTACAGGATCAAGGACTCCACGGACCGTACACGCTATGCTCTCCTACTACGACCTTCCCCTCACCAAGCACCCAGGACATTGAGGTCACCTTCCACGTTGGAGCTACCACCACTACTGCCACATTCCAAGCTGGAACCTTCCTTTTCCAGGCCTGCCACCTTGCACACATCCACCCCGTTGACACTCCCCCGATTGACCTCAGGGGAGATCCTCTCCGCCTTGATCTTCGACTGTGGCTCAACTCCACCATTGTTTGCAGATGCCCCTTCATCGCCGGAGGCTCCACTGAACTCGGACTCAGCGATCAACAGATCAGCAAAGAGCTCCTCCGCATAGCCCACATCCACGGCGAAGTTGGCGGGCCACCATACCAATGTCCCGCACCCATCCTCATCCACGGCCATGTCGACAAAGGCCTTGCTCTTGCACCCCAGGCACTCACTGCGCTCGCAGAGTACGACTCCAACACACTCACCACCATCATATTTGCCTATGACGGTCATTGGGCACTCCTCGTCACCGAGCCTACCGAGACCGGCTTCATCGCCTCGATCTTCGATGGGCTACCATACAGAGCGCATACTGGAGGACATTTTCTGGCCAAATCCATTGCTGACCAATGGAACAAGCAATGCGAAAGCATCTTTTCCCACACACACTACCACCAGCACGACAACTACTCCTGTGGCACAATCGCCTTGGCACATCTTGGTGACATCCTTGACCTCTGGCCTACCTGCAGCACCAGCGACATAAGCACCTGGCACAACCGCCTTGCAACCGACGACCACCTCCTGACACACCAGCACACAGCAACAGGCCCTCACAATGAGGATGACACCTTCAAACAGCTCAGGACCACTCTCATCGACAAAGGCGTGCCTGCAGACTGTGTCGACGAGAGATGCAATCACGCCCTCAAAAAGCTCGGAGCCAGCCACATTGCTGAAGCACTCGCCTCCAAACATGCATGGAGTGCTCTCAAAGCACTCGGCTCAAAACCAAGCAGTCCCTTTCAATGGCTCAGATCTCAAGAGCTCCAGCAGAAAATCCAGCTAAAAGCTGCCACCCAATACGGCATCAGCCAGTCCAACCGGAAGAAGGACAAGGGCAAACCTGCCAACTCATCGGCCAACAAGCCCGAATGTCAGATCGCACCCACTGAGCTTCAGCTCGTACCCGGCACATTCACAAGCGAGGATGGCATTCCAATCGACTCCCTTCCCATTCACAACCTTGGCAAAGGCAGCACCGGCCTAGCATTTGCCACCGTCGGGGAAGCAGCGCCCTACCTAAAGGAGACTCAGCACCGGCCCGCTTGCCATCCTCACAACAACATGCATCCCACACGCCCTTCGAGGACAGCTGCCAGTTGAAGACCTCATGTACCCGGCCAAGCACACCACAACTCAGGAACCGATCCTGATCCACGGCAGCCTCATTCAGCTCGGCCAAGTCCTCATCACACGCCCTGTCCGCAACAAGCTCCCAGACGTTGCACCGATCGACACCTGCACGATCAAGCTTGCCGTCTACCAGGACCAATGGCCTGGACAATGGTCAACCTTCGGAGACGGCCCAATGAAG